TGTCATGGATTGAGCTGCCAGTGTCCTGGCACAAAGAGGCAAAACTGAGAGGCAAGTGCTTATAGCTCTGAGCAGTAGGAATCACCAGAAGCATCCAATTTGTTCTTCACAGGGCATCTAATAGCTCCTTGATGATGATGGCTTTTAGTTACTGCTGGATTTGCATCAACAGGACACTTTTTTAAGCTCCAGATCCTCAGTGGACTTGCAGTTAAGGTGCTCTGGACCAGTATTGGCAACAATGACTGTTAAAATTTAGGTAAGACGTCTCAAAAAAAAAACCCCTAAACCAACAGAAACACCAAACCCCAAATGCACCACACTTAAAAAAATGAAAATAAAATGAAATAAGAAGATTGGAAGATTTTTGAGATCCTGCAGGTGTCATTGAAGCCGTTCCTGGTATGAGTGCTGCCAACATATTTCTTACAAAGTTGAGGTTTTCATCTCAGCTCATCACTCTCTAGAAATAAAAGGATGTGATGAGATTCATAATAAAACTGTACAAGCTGGCAGTGCCATCCATGAGAAAGTAACACCTTCTCTGAATCTTGGCAGGAGGTTGTGTTTCTTTCCATTGGGTCCTTCCCAGTTAACAAACATTTGTTCTCTGTGTTTGCACAGAGCCGGAGATCGCACAGCTGCTTTGCTCTGGGGTCTGTCCCAGCTTGCAGCATGCATTTATTTTTCTTATTCATTTTCGTCGTACTAACATGGGACCTGCATGACCTCCGGGCACATTGACAGGTTTGAAAATAACATCTAATCGCAAAAATAACAAACCAAAGTCATTCTACAAAAGCAATAAAAATTTAAAAAGTGCTTCTTAGAACTTCGTCTGAATAAAGCCTGTGCTCAGCTCCCTGCCTGGGCCGGTGGATGCGCAGCAGCGCTCTGCCTCCGGAGCTGCGGTGCCAGCTACAGGTCCCAGCTACAGCTCCCCTGGAAGAGCCCTACTAAAATAATTGTATTTTAAGTAAGTTCTCCATGAAAAACTAAATTCCAGGCTAGAACCGTCCCTGTTTCTCTTGCTCAGACCCCAATTACACGATAGTGTGTGCGATGCAGAGGCGCTGTTGGGGTGGCATGGCTCCGTGTCCGTCACCCTGATTTCCTTGGGACTCCCCCTCTGAATGCGTCTGACAGCGTCTGCCTGCTTATCCACCGGTGCTAGCCGGTGTCACCTCCTGCGGCCTGACACGGGGTTACACCGGTGCTCCCGTTCCTTTAGGTTGGAGTTCACATCGCCTGCAGACGAAAGCAGCTTGCTGGTGGTCATTTGACAGCACGCCTTTGTTTCCAGCGTTGGTAGGAATTTGGGCAGTTTCCTATGAGGTTTTTTTTGTTCATGTTTTTGGTTTTTTTTTCAAATTGGGTGAGTAGAGTTGTTTCTGTCCCGAGCGTGTTACATGAGACAAGTTTGAGTTGGGATTTGGCAAAGCGGGCCTTTATGGGTCCTTCCTGAAGTAGAGGTCCTTGATTCTAGGTTGTGTTTGTAGGCAACCATCACTGATCTAAGTCGGTGCAAGTCAGATAAGGACGGGTTCAAGTCTCAGATAAAGGAAAAGCAATTAACCACAGGTTCCTGCCTCTCCTGGCTTCCCAACTTGGCTCCGCAGGGTTTGCATTCCCCAGGTTTTCAAGCGAACACCATGGCTTGGGTGCCAAGTGCTATGAGCAGAGCGTGCTCCCAGCTCACCTCCACACTGCACTCATGGCATACAGGAGAGGGTGAGAATTGGCCCCAGCCACCGGTTTGTTTAATAGCCAAAGAATAACAAAAATTAAATAACTACAAAAGAGCAAAAGGATGAATAAGATGACTGCACGAGCGTATGTTCCTTTCAGATTAGGACTGGAAAATGATACCCACCACTCCGCACGTGCACATCATTCAGTACAGGTTTGATCGATTCTGTAGGGCACGGAGGGTGATGAATGGATGCGCCCAGGTCCGGAACTGCCTGGGAGGCTTGACACGCACCGGGAGTTAGACCAAAACGAAAAGGGAGGAAGCATTTGTAACCAAAGGGAAATATTAAAATGTCTGTTTCTGCCGTAAATCTACCTGGAATGATGGGGCTGATTGTTTTGAAGTACATTCTGTAGCAAAACAATAATGAGAAGAGGAAGAGCACATTACTTATCTGCTCTACCTGGCTGGTGTCTAAGTGGCAAAAGTCTAATTGAAAAAATATCCTGATGGGAGAATTTCTAATAAATTTGTTTGCACCCTCATAGCCTGGAGGAGAAAAAAAAAAATCCAATCAGCAGTGGGGAAGTTCCAAAGTTGCCGTTGCATTTTGAGTCTTGATTTTCAGGCTCGCTGCTCAGAGTGGCAATCAGAGGCGCAGTAATTTTGAAGGCAGGATTCATTACAGTTATTATGAAGGCATCAAGGGCACAAGGAAGTGTGGAGTAGAGGGAGGGGAATAGTAAAAAGCCATACAAAAATACATTCTGACAAGCAGCACGATACAGAGAAAGCAGAGTGCTCGTCCTGCCCTGGACCTCCCCAGGGAAAGATACTTTCTTTTTTTTTTCTTTTCCCAAATGTAGATTTCCAGATGACTTTTGTTTTCTGGAGAAAAATTGTTTCAAAACACGTCTTAGTCTAGATCTGCAAAATACTGTGCTGGAGCAGGACAAAAATGAGGCACTTGTGTGCGAGGAAGGGGGATGGAAGGATGGATGGATGGATGGAAGGAAGGAAGGATGGAAGGAAGGATGGATGGAAGGAAGGAAGGATGGAGGGAGGGAGAGAGGGAGGGAGGGATGGATATTTAAATTTCTCAGAGGCACAAAGCTTTTACATCAGAAAAAGCTCTTCCTTTCCTGATATGGAAGCAAATATTTCTGCAGTGCAAATTTCTGTCTGGTTCCAGGGATGGATTCCCCACTCGAATATTTTCTCTCTCTTCAGTGCTGCTTGCTGGAAAGCTGCTGTGTGGCTCACCTGCCGGTCTCAGTGCGGTCTCAGGTGTCCCATGGTGCCACACAGTGCATCTGGGAAGCTGACCTGATGCAAAGCTCTGGCACTGTAGGTCGGACCACGGGCATGGGCCCTACATCCCACAGTGTACAGCCCTGGGGTGTCAGCTCAGGCTCCAGGATCCACCTGATGGTTTTTTGCTAGGGTGGTCCCAAAAAGAGCTTGGGAGTGGGACCTCAGGACCATAATTTTGCCTGTTCCAAAAAGATTGACTCTAAAATAACACTGCTGCCCAGGACAAAGTCAGCAACCGGCTCCTCCCACAGAGCCTGGGTCCCGCTGCCTCAGGGCTGAGCCTCTCCACCAAACTGGGCCACCCCTTCTGCAAACTCAACCTTCTCCACTGGGCTCGGTCGGGCTGGCAGAGGGTATTTAGGCTGTTGAGCTGATTGAGTCTCTGTGCCTGGAAGCATGGCAGCTCCAGCCGGAGCGGTGTTAGCAGGAGCCAGCTATGCCAGCAATCCTTTTACAGGTGGAGGGAAATTCCATTTACAGTGGATAGCACCCAGCTGGCTTCTGGGAGAGCTACAAGCCTGTAGGGCTGCCGATGCTCGCTGCATCCCACAGCTCCTGCCTCACTGATGGGTTTAATGAAATCCTGCGTTTGCACAGGGATCCCTTTCCACCCTGCTGTGGCTGCTATCAGTATTAGTTAATGAGTGTCGCAATACCCGCTCTAATTTTGCTGCTTTTAATTGGTTTGCTCCACTATCCCAGAGGATAGTTTGGCAATTAGAGGGTGTCTGTGCACTCTGACGCTGAGCGGAGCTGTGTTAACCCCGCTTGGCTTTACTAACTCCACCGCCTTTAACAGCTAATCCTCTAGCACTCTGAGAAACAAAGTGTAATTAATAATCTACACTGAAAGTCTTCACCTGGTTTATTTAGGTTTCTCTTTTATTGTTCTTAATGTGACTCATTTCTGCTAAGGCATAACTGGTATCGGCTTCGTATGGGCGAGCGAGAGGTGAGCAGTCTTCAATCCATCATCCGGCTGGTAAGGGCAGGAGGGCTGGCTCTTCCTGTGTTGAGTAGATGGTGTCATTCGCAGCTGGAACCTTCAACCTTGTCTTGGGAGTGGTTTATGGCATAGCCCAGTTTATTGCCATAATTAATTTGTGAACTTAGCCTTGAGAACTGCCCCAGCCATACTTCGAGCCAGAGACAATCCTGGAGGGCTTTTTTCCTTCATTTGGAATCAGAGCAAGTGAAAAGCTCCCGCTGCAGCTAATTAATGCAAAGAGTTTTGCAGTTCTCCGTGGGGGTTTTGGAGCCTAATAAGTGGATTAGCAGTTCAGAGCTGGGTGAAGGGGGCAGGCGTGTTTGCCGGAGCCGCAGGGGCACAGGCGAACGCAGTGAGCTCAGGCTGCCCTGCCTCCCACAAGCCCCAAAGCCCAGCCCAGGAGGCTGAGCCCTGGCAGAGCAGGCAGGGAAGAGGAGACGGGGGGAAATGTGCCTTCTTGCAGCCAGAGTTTGCGAACAACAGCAAACTGTCAGGATGGGAAGTCAGGCTTTGCATAGAGATCCCCACAGGTATGGTCTGGAGTGACGTTCTGCATTGCTGGTGTAGGTTTGCTTTGGTGGTTAAGGAGTATGTAGGTGTCTGGAAGAGGATCGAGTGGGACCTGCCTGTCTTGGAAATTTCCATTGATGGAAATTGGCTTTTTAAAGCTGACTGATTGATCTAGTGGGAATTTTAGCAAGAACTTCATCTGGGTGATCTTTGATGCTGGGTAGATCTGTGGTTTTGCACAGGTTTGGTTTGTTTGAACTGGAGTGATTTGCTCGTTATTTTGCTGAAAAACTAACATAAATGTGTTACGTTACCGTGGCCCATTGCAGTAATGGTGACGTGTGTGTGCTCACATGTGCTCAAAAGTTTTAAAGGACCAGCTCAGGATTTTCTCCTGGGAATCTTGGCATGAAGAGCTAGGAAAGTATTTGGGATGCACATAACCCTGGCACATGGATGACGTTTCACTAACTCTACCTTTCTTTTGTCTTTCAGTTTGATGGAGAGAACATGTACATGGGAATGAACGACAACACCCAGGAGTTTCTATCAGCAAATCAGGTAAGTGTTGATTTGCTTGGGTGGGGTGTGGATAGATTTTCTAAGGGACTTAAGCTTTGCCTAAGCATAAATTCGAGGAGCTCCCTGGGAGTCTGCACTCCTGGGACATTGGGAGGGTCCACGGAGGAGGTCAGAGCTGGCCACCATCCTAGCTGCTGCAAAGGAGCAGAGGCAGATGGCACAGGGAGAGGGATGCTTTTGCATGCCCATGCTGCTGCGTATCACTGGAGCCTGGCTTAGCCACGGCTCTCCAACGAGCTGTCCTTCACTCGTAGGTGCAATGAGGTTTCCAAGTACTGGCAGCTCATGGCTTAGACAGGCACACTCTTTGCTGGGTAAAAAACCAGCTGGATGGCTAAGCCCAGAGAATTGTGGCCAATGGATTAAAATCCAGTTGGTGGATGGTAACAAGCGGTGTCCCCCAGGGCTCAGTTTTGGGGCCCGATTCTGTTCAACATCTTTATCAACAACCTGGACGAGGGGATTGAGGGCACCCTCAGTCAGTTTGCAGATGACACCAAGTTGGGTGGGAGTGTGGATCTGCTGGAGGGGAGGAGGGGTCTGCAGAGGGACCTGGCCAGGTTGGATCCATGGGCCCAGGCCAATTATGTGAGGTTCAGCAAGGCCAAGTGCTGCACTGGGGTCACAACAACCCCACGCATCGCTACAGGCATGGGGCAGAGTGTCTGGAAAGCTGCCCGGCAGAAAAGGACCTGGGGGTGCTGGTCGACAGGCAGCTGAATATGAGCCAGCAGTGTGCCCAGGTGGCCAAGAGG